TGCGGCGCGCCGGCTGCCTGCGGCGCTGCAAGCGCGGCCTGCCAGTCTTCCAGCTGCGCTACCCGCCCGCCGACACGCTGCGCGCCTTCCGCCGCCGCCTGCCCTACAGCTACCTGCACTACGCGCTCTTCAAGGTGAGGCGGTCCGGTTTGCTGCTGCTGTGTCCACGCCAGAGCCCGCACCTTGACGGCCTCTGTGTTTCGAGGACACTCGCGCGCGCACGCTTTATGAGGGAAGGAGCGCGGATTCCCGTGAGTGGAAAGGCAAAGACGGGGTCGATTTGCTGCTCCTTCCTTCTCCTATCCCGGGGTTGTCTAGTTCTTTAAGGGAAAAATAGAGGATGTAAAGGCGACCGGTTTCGTGTGGATAGAGGACAACCAGACTGGCCTCTATGATGGCCAGCCTACTCCCGCACCTCCCCTCTGTCCCATCCCACAAGCTCACATTGCGACTTCCCCAGAGTGGCAGAGGTTGCTTGTGGGTGCAGAGTTACTTGGGGCATGCGTGCGTCTATAGGATCGGGCCCCAAGGGGGTCCCGTTCAGCACCGAGCACAGCGTGGGCCTGTAGTGATGAATGAGCCTCTGGAGGAGATGGATGCTGGGCGATGAAGATGCTCTGGGCTATGCCCCTGGGTGTCCGGTTCCTCCCTCCTCCAGAGCACAGAGCTTTGCAGAGGCCGGCTCTGGCATGGCACCCAGCCTGCTTGCTAGAGTCTGCTTTCTCTGGCCAGAGGATGACTGGTTGCTCCCAGCTTTGTATTCCTAACAGGTTGCCTGTCCCAGCCTTTGGGAGATGGATAGTCCTGAGCTGTGCTAATTACGTAAGGTGTAGGGTATAGCTGTTTTGCAGTGGCATTTGGGGACCTTTTAACCTGGTCCATCCTGTGGGAGCTCCAGGCTGCGTGTCAGCAGAGTCTAGATGGCAGCCGTGCGGCATGCAGAACGTGCGCTCAGAAGGAGTTTCAAAACCGTGCCAGTTGCTCCTGGTTTTTTCTTTCCTCCTCCTCCTTTCCTCCACGCCCCCTCCCTCACTGCTCCTCCACACAGCTGCCGCCAGGAATCCCCCAGACCTAGAGTCACGGAAGGAGTACAAATGCCACGTCTTCAGCATCCAGAACAGTAGAAGTCTGGGGGATTGCTTAGCTCAGACCTGAGTAATAGCCACTGCAGGGATCCCCATTTGCTGGGAGGACGGGGGTGGGTGTGTGGGGAGGAAGAGAACAATTTTCCTTTGAATCATCCCCAGCTGCTGCTTCCTTTGCAAGCAGTCCGGGCCTGTTAGCTCTGCCCTGGTCCCTCCACTCCAGGTCTCCGTAGGTAAAAGTTCCAAATCGTCAGGTTTTGGGGCTCAGACTTTCTTTGGAACTCCAAGAAGTTATCAACTTCAGAAGTTCTGGGTGCTGCCAACAGCGCAGTCAGCCTATATGTGGGAAAAGATGAGGTGGTTCCTGCTGGGGAATGCCTGGAAGCCACAGTGTCACTGGGTCTCCAGGCTGTGGGCATGATTTAATGTTGCTTGGTGTCAGTGTTGCACGCACACGGTTTCCAAAGACCACAAGGGAGAAGGCAGAAATGAAGGTTCTTTGCCAGGGCTCCCAGACTTAACATGTGCCTCCATGGGTGACTGATGCTTTCCGAGTCTGGGGGGGCACCAATGGGGCACAACTGTGGGGGTGGTCCCCCAGCGGGCAACCGGGGCGGGGAGCCAATTTCAGGGGGGGCACCAGCACTCTCCGTGCCCCACTACTAGCCAGCGCACTTGCTGTGTGTGTGTGGGGGGGGGGGGGGGGGGGGGGGGTACAACCAGGGGGGGAGGGGTGTACCAGCAATCTCAAGGAGGGGCACATGTCCCCCATGGTATGCGTGCCTTGTAATGTGCTCAGGAAGGGCTATTTTAAGAGGCTTTTATGAAAGGTGTTTTGCCTTTGGAGGCCAAACAAAGCAAAGAGAGAGGAGTCAGGAGTTCTAATCCTGGTTTTGATGCTGAGATCTTGTTCCGCATGCTCACAAGAGTCACTCTCCTTTCTGTGCCTCAGTGTTATTATCATTAAAATACAGAGGAGGCGACTATGTGTCAGAGTTACTTAGGGCCCAGCCCTTCAGTTCTTACAGGGGAATTGGGTCACATGAGCAATTTTTGCAAGAGGTGGGTGACTTCATCATCAGCAGATGCAATGGTATATGTTTCATAGATTGTAAGGCCAGAAGGGACCTCGGACGATCATCGGGTCCAGCCCCCTGCACCAGGCAGGAAAGACAACTGGGGTCAGGTGGGCCCAGCAAGGTGACCGTCCAGTGAAGATCTCCAGGGTAGGTGATTGCACCACCTCTGGAGGGAGCTTATTCCACAGTCTGGACACCCTGACTGTGAAAACGTTTTTCCTAATATTGAGTCTAAAACGGTCCTCCAGGAGTTTGTGGCCATTACTCCTGGTTTTCCCCAAGGGTGCCCTGGTGAACAGTTGTTCACTGAGCCCTTGATGTACTCCCTTGATGTAGCAGTAAGCTGCTACCAAGTCCCCTCTCAGCCTTTTTTTTTCAGGCTGAAGAGTCTCAGGTCCTTCAGCCTTTCCTCGTATGGCTTGTCTTGCAAGTTTCTGGTCATATGGGTGGCCCTTCTCTGGACTCTCTCAAGCTTTACCATGTCCTTGTTAAAGTGTAGTGCCCAGAACTGGACGCAATACTCTAGTTGCGGTCTCACCAATGCCAAGTAGAGCAGAAGAATCACTTCTTCGATTTTGCTGGAGATGCATTGATTGATGCATGCCAGGGTATTATTTGCCCTACTGGCTACAGCATCGCATTGCCGGCTCATGTTCATACTGTGGTCTATTATTACCCCCAGGTCCCTTTCGTTCATGGTGCTGGTCAGTTTGGTGCCCCCAAGCCTGTAGGTGTGTAGGGGGTTGTTCGTCCCCAGGTGGAACACTTTACATTTCTCAACATTGAACTTCGTCTGGTTCTGATCCGTCCAACTTGCTAGCCTGTCTAGATCCGCCTGTATCTGTAGCCTATCTTCAAGTGTGACCATGCTTCCCCATAACTTGGTGTTGTCTGCGAACCTTGTCAGTGAGCACTTCACCCCCACATCCAAGTCACTGATAAGGATGTTGAAAAGTATTGGACCAAGCACCGACCCTTGTGGGACGCTGCTGGCCACTTCTCACTGGGACGACAGATCCGTTCATTAGGACTCTCTGGGTCCTACTCCGCAGCCAGCTTTCCACCCACCTGACTGTCTTGGAGTTAAGACCACAATCCTCCAATTTTCTTGCGAGGACATGTTGATGGATCCATGTAGGGCAACTGGTTCTTTTAAAGGGTTAATGTAAAACTGCCTGATTGACTCAAAGGCCCCCCTTTTTTTCTGGGAAGAAGTCTGGCTTTTCATGGGAGAAGTCTGCCTTTTGTGTAAAGAAAGTAAGAAATAAAAGTATTCCTTGGGTTCTTGTGTAGATTTACTGGCTAATTTCCTACATTCTGAAGATTCAAGTTAATAGTTTCTTGCCCAGCTCTGCTGTCTCCTTTGCCCAGGAATGAAGGAAGACAGCATGTCCTGATTACATAATGAATTTTCCTTTTGGTCTGACCAGCCAAACCTCCATTTCAGGGACTGTCGGTTTTACAAGAAAAAAAAAATCAACTCCTTAAAGACTGACTTCAGGTGAAAGTCACAGCAGTTAATGAAATGGGAAAGAGAATTTAGAGAGATTCAAGCCCTGGGGCCAGGGGACAAAGCACTGGAGGTGTGAACAGGCAGGATCAGGCCCCATCAAAGGCCCTTTTGACATGCAGTTGAATGCGACAGTCTCTTGTGGCATAGTGGCTGAATTGGAAGAAATCTGGCAGGTGAATCCACCCTGCAGCTGTGCGGCTTTCTCAGTGCCCTGACTCAAGAGCTTCCAAGGTTAAATTCTGCAAATCACTGTGTAGGCACCAAAATAGGTCTGGCCTGAGCATCCATGGCGCTGAATAGTCTGAGCTGGTGAGCTATGGGGTAGGGATTTATCTGCAGCAGCATTGTAGGATCAGACCTGAAGTTTGTCATCTGGAACCATACAAAAGCTATCAACCCAATATTTTGTCCACTGGCTGCTGCCAGAGAATGATTAATTCTAGGTTTGGCATCAGCAATACTAGGTGCTGTGGTGGAATAACTGCTCCCAGTTGCAGCATCATCCTTTCCACAGAGAGCCAGGCCTCTTCCATGTCCTGAGCTTCCCTTGCATTGCTGGCTCTGTTCATCTGTTGGCCAGTCACCCCTACCATGTTCCCTATGGCCTGGTTTGGGTAATACAGCAGTGTGCTGCCTGATAAGGCACAGTCTGAATGTTCCAGCTGCCCTGGGGTGGATAAAGGAGTCGCTATCCATGGGCTTGGTGAGTTCAGCAAGGACTGAGCAAACCCAGCTAGTGGCACTGACAACACAAGGAGGAAGTGCCCTGAGTGCCCAGCCCCTGCCATATATTTGCAAGAGGAACAATGTGAGTGCCCCTTCAGTAGCTAATACACTCAGCTGGCCCCATGCCTTCCACTTTGCATGCCAGCAGTTTTGACATTGATCTCACTGGTAGCTATGCCCACATGGATCAAAAGGTTTGGTTCCTGCTTATTCTCTGTGGAGATGTTTATAATGTACTCCCCAAACACTAATCTTCAGGCTCCTGGGACAGACAGTGCTAACACTGCATTACCCACGTGTAAATCTGCAGCTGCAGAAATCTCGACCACGGGGTGCCAGGCATTGTTGCTTGCTCTGATACTCCCCATTTTGCAATTTTCAAAAAGTGTTCCCTTTGGGGTATTTTTTAGGTCTGTGCGAAATGGCTATGTTTTGTTTCCATTTCAGATTCGTCCATTTTGGAGGGACAGTGATTCATTTCGGTGTTTTGGATTACTGTTCCATTTTGATTCAGCTGAATCTGTTTCAGAGTTTTGACACTGTTTCGGCACTGATTCAGAGATTCAGATCAGCCAGGGAGAGGCAGGCACAGCTGGGCAGCTGCAGGTTCTCCCACTGCTCCTCTGGCGGTGGCGGTTCCCCCCACTGCCCCTCGGCCTGTGCCTGCCTCTGCCCCAGCAGGTGGGAGTCGCAGGAGAAGTCCCCCTGGCTACCCTGCCTGGCCCTGGCCTCCCAGAACTTTAAAAGGAGGGCTGTGGGGCTGTGCCAAACTCTTCCCGCGGGATGTGGGCTCCTGGATCTGTGCGGGGGATGACAGCAGGCTGCCGCTGCTAGCTGGGACCAGTGCTCAGTGCAGCCCGTGCCGAGCGCCAGGAAGACTGGTTCTGCTGCTGGCCCCAACCGGCAGTGACAGCATGCTGTCATTCCATGCACAGATCTGGGGGCCCGCACCCCCTGGGAGGGCTGCGGGACTGCCGGACTCTTCCTGAGGGGCACGGGCCCCTGGATCTGCGCGTGGGATGACAGCAGGCTGCTGCTGCCAACTGGGGTTCTTTCTGGTGCTTGGCGCAGGCGGCAGTGGAAGTATGCTGTCATCCTGCATGCAGATCCAGGGGCTTGCGGCCCCCCACCCCTCTGAGGGCTGCAGGCTTGTGCCAGACTTCTCCCAGGGAAGTGTGGGCCCTGGGTTTGCGTCCGGGATGACAGCAGGCTGCTGTCTCTCCCCCAGGGCACTGGGATTGGAAGGGACCTCCGCAGACACTGCAGACAGACCGTAGACACTGGCCCCTTACAGATCAATATCAGAGCAGTCCTTCCCCCTCCCTTTTCTGAGTTTCTGTTTCCCCGCAAACCCACCTCCGAAACGTTTCAGATGATTTAGTTTCATTTCGGAGATGTTTCGGAGCCTTCTGTTTCATTTCCTGCCCCTGGGGCAGGGGGCTGGACTCAATGATCTTCTGAGGTCCCTTCCAGCCCTAATGTCTGTGAAATCTATGAAATTTCAGATTCGGTGTTTCAAGTGCCAGATCGGGCTGAAACACCTCCGAAACAAAACGGCTGCCAAAGTTTCTCACAGCCCTAGTATTTTTTTATCTTGAAATCATATAACTCAGGAATGCATGTATTCCTGGGGAATCCTGTTGCAGCTTTCTGGCCAGGGGATGGCTGTGGAGCCCTGCTGGCTGCATTAGTGAGGGTGCAGTATCTATATAGTAGGCAACTTGAGCTGGTTTCAAGGGCCTGTATGATCTTGGGACCTCACAGTTGGGCCTTAAAGGAGGGCAGGGCAGAGAGTATAATTGTTGATGTGCTGACTTGGGACTTGCATGCTCTAAATTCAAATCCTGGCTTTGCTACAGATTCTGGGGATTCCTCTGGGGTAAACCATGAGTGGCTCAGTCCATTTTCTCAGAAGAGTGAGCGGCGTTTGCAGCTTGTGTACTGAGCTCTTTGGAAAGCTTGCCTCTACAGCTCAGAACCTCAGTTCACCATCTCTGGGAGAGGCAGAATCTGCAGACCCTTGAACTTAATGGCAAGGGAAGCTTCTCAGGTGGGGACCTGGCCGTGGGAGAGAGGTGTGAAAGGACTGGTTTTGACTGAGTAGGAGCAGGATACAGTGATTTTAATGTTGGGCGCAAGGAGTCTTGAGTCTCCATGGGTCTCTGTGACCTGTGATAAGTTTGGTATCAAACTCCCTAAGCCTTCTTAGGTAGATGCATGCCATGTCCTGTTGAGATTTCTCTCCCACCAGGGCAGTTCCACACATTCTGGTGGCCATGTGTCTTTGCCAAGCGGCTCTTGTGTCTGCTTGTGCAGATTCATAAAATGTTGCACCCCACACTGCTGTGGTCACAGTTGCCTGGAATAAAGATCCTTGTCTTGTGGTTACTTCTCCTGTATGGGAAGGGGAATCAGCTGGGTTAGTGTTGATTTGACTGCTTCTGCGTTTGGGGGTTAGTACTGTATTAATGATACTTGTGTGAGTCGATTGCTCCAACTGTTATGTATAGACAAGGCCTGGGAATCCTAAAGACTTTTCCGGTGGGGTCTGAGGCTGTGACTTTTGAGAGCAGAAAAGCAGAGCCTTGTATAGGTGCGTCTGCAGCAAGCCTAGAGGCTATGAATGCGCTGCGATGACTCAGAATTAATGACTTGGTTGCAGGGGCAGGGAAATTTTTGGGTTTGGGTGACCTCTGCAAACTTGTAGCCAGCCATGTTCCTGTAGCAGCAGGACAGTGGCTCACTGTGGCAGCTGACTCAGACAGGTCTCTCTCTTTCAGGACAATAAGATTGAGAAGGCGGTGTCTGCTGCCCACACCTTTCTTCAGAAGAATCCCAAACATGAGATGACCATAAAGTACCTGAACTATTACAAAACGATGGTGGACGTGGATGAGTATCTTGTGGACTTGGAGGCCCAGCCGTATGAAGTGAGTGAGCCTCAGGGGCTTAAGTGGAGGGAGGTTGGTGGGATGCCTGGGACAGTAAGGCTGAAGGGCAGGATCGAGGGCACTGCCATTCGGCTGGGTGGAGAATTTCATAGATTTTATAGACATTAGGGCCGGAAGGGACCTCATGAGATCATCTGGTCTAGTCCCCTGCCCCAGGGGCAGGAAGTCAGCTGGGGTCAGAGGACTCCAGCAAAATAATCGTCCAAGCGCATCTTGAATGTGTCCAGAGTAGGTGCTTGCACCACTTTTTGGGGGAGTCTATTCCAGACTCTGCATACTCAGACTGTAAAGAAGTTCTTCCTTATGTTTAGTCTAAAACTGTCTTCCAGCAGTTTGTGACCGTTAGACCTTGTTTTCCCTGCAGGAGCCCTGGTGAACAGATGTTCTCCTGGGTCCTGATGAACACCCCTGATATACTTATAGGGAGCCACTAAATCCCCCTGAGCCTTTGCTTCTCCAGGCTGAACAGTCCCATGCCTCTCAGCCTCTCCTCATGTGGCCTCCTCTCTTGACCTCTGATCATATGTGTGGCTCTCCTCTGGACACTCTTGAGCTTCTCCATGTCCTTTTAAAAGCGTGGAGCCCAGAACTGGATGCAGTACTCCAACTGCGGCCTCACTAAGGCCGAATAAAGAGGGAGAGTGACTTCTTGGGTCTTGTTTGAGATGCATCGGTAGATGCAGGCCAGGGTTTTATTTGCTTTGCCAGCTGTGGCATCACATTGGTGGCTCATTGTCACGGTAGGGACACCCCTGGGATAGCCGTGATGTCCCTAGGGCACTGTGACCGTGCTGGCTTCGCCCTATGGGCACCTACTAATCTCACCAGCTACGTCTTGCTGTTATAAATGACGGATTGGGAGGCTGCCCTCGAGTTGCCCCTCGGTCACAGTCCTGACAGTCTCCCCTGAACCCTGTCGGTTGCTGGACCCCTTTATTGGGCCCCACATTTGGCAGGTGTCTTATGATACCTCCCAGCCTTATGGGCTAGATGTGCAGCTCCAAAACCACCCCTTTATCACACCCCATGCCTTGCAGATGTTATGTAAACGTGGTCTCCTTGTGTTGAGGCCTCAGCTTAGTCCGGCCTCAGTAACTACGCCCACACTGGCGTTGGAGTCTGCTCACCCCTGGTCATGGCACCCACACTGGCGCTGGGGTCTGTTCACCCCCAGTCATGGCACCTACACTGGCCTCAACCAGATCCACCGGTTTACAGACAGAAATCAAAATATGAGCTCCTGGGCTATAACATAATGCAAGCAGTTCAGGGTGTGCTCTGTCCCTTTAGAAGAGTTAAAGCTCCCCCTTGCACTAAATGCCTTGTAGGTGAGGGTCCCTGGTGAGCTCCTGGAGCCCCTTAATCCTACCAGAAATAGAACAGGCAGTCAAGCATCTTCACTTAGCTTACTCTAAGAGAGCTCCTTCCCCCTTGGCTGCTGGCAGAGAACTGACCCTCTAGTCTCAGCCCTGGGGTATATACCTGCCCAGGGCCCTGCCTCTTCCAGGCAGCTGACCAGCTGCAGGTACAGGCTGATTCCCTCATTAGCCTGCTGCCACAGTAACCTGCAGGTGTGGGGTTCCTGCCTGACTGCTAGGGCCCTCTCCCTAGGCAGTTTCTGCCCTTAAAGGAGCAGGAACCTTAGTGCCGTACGACACTCGTATTCATCTTGTGGTCAGTCATGACCCCCAAGTCTCAGACAGTGCTGGTGAGTGAACCACTGCCAAGCATATAGGTACGATGCGGGGTTTTCCTCCCGAGGTGGAGAACATTGTATTTCTCTATGTTGAAGGTCACCAGGTTTGTATCTGCCCACCTTGCAAGCCTGTCCAGGTCGGCCCGAATCCCCAGCCTATCCTCCAGCGTGTCTGTGCTTCCCCACAGTTTTGTATCATCCATGAACTTAGCCAGTTCATTTTTGACACCTGAATCCAGGTTCATAATGAATATATTAAAGAGTACTGGTCCAAGTACTGATCCCTGAGGGTCACCATACACCATGCTGACTCGGTTCCATCAACAATCACTCTCTGGGTCCAACTGCGGAGCCAGTTTCCGAGCCATTGGACCGTAAGGTTGTCGAGGCTGCAGTTCCCCAGTTTTGCCATGAAGACATCATGGGAGACCAAGTCAAAGGCTTTTTTGAAATCTAAGTAAATGACATCAAGCTCTGCCCCCCTCCAGGTGACACATCCCGTGGTCATAGAAGGAGATGAGGTTGGTCAGGCACAACCTACCCGAAATGGAGCCATGTTGGCTGTCTCTCAGAATGGCACCTTCTGTCAGCCTGTTGTTGATGGATTCTTTGATAATTTTTTCTAAGATCTTCCCAGAGATTGAAGTCAAATTGATTGGCCTGTAATTCCCTGGATCTTCCTTCCTCCATTTCTTGAAGATAGGTACCACGCTGGCCCTCTTCCAGTTTTCAGAAACCTCTCCTGAGTGCCATAAGTTCTCAAATATCCGAGCCAATGGTCGAGCTATAATGTCGGCCAACTCTTTTAGCACTCTTGCATGCATTCATCAAGGCCCGCCGACTTATGGATGTCCAGCCTCTCAAGGTGTTTCCTCACAAGGTCTTCACCAAATGTAGGCATATGGTCACCCGAATCAAAGAGAAGTAGGGGTGGAAGGGGCCTTCAGAGGTCATCTAGTTCAACCCCCTGCCTGAGGCAGGACCAGCCCTATCCAAACCATCCTATACAAATCCATAATCAACCTCTTTGTAAAACTACCATCAGCCCTGACACAACACAAGACATAACACCCTAACCTACCACAGGTAAAGCAGAGGAGCCATAGCAGCTAACCTCCTTCAGTAAAGGTTACTAAGATACACTCAAGAGATAACAGGTAGAAGGCCATGACCCCACTAGAGAGGAAGGCAAAAACCCACCAGAGTCTACCAATTTGACTATAGGGTAAAATTCCTTCCTGACCCCAAATACGGTGACCAGTCTGACCTTGAGTGAAGGGGCAAGACCCTCTAATCAGGAACCTCTGGCTTTGAAGTCCCAGCAGGAGCACTGGCATCCCTCTGCTGGGGCCTGAAGCTGGAGGTTCTTGGAAACCTCAAGATTGAGAGAGAGAGAGAGAGAGAGAACCTTTAGAGAATGAGAGTTCCATTGCATCAAAACTTTTGCGGTTTCAGCAGAAAGCTGACCTTCCATTGTTCCTGACATACCCAGGATAACCAAATGCTGTTGAGTGGGGTACTCACTAGGAATGTGGGATACATAGATCCAAGTCTCTGCTCTGAGTCAGGTGGAGTAGAAATGTAAATCTGGGTTTCCCTTGTGAACTGGGATAATGGCTGTTTCAGAGTATCAGAAATCTCAACATTTCATTGAAAAATTCCTGAGCAGCTCTTGTCAGCAGAGCTATGCACATAGGGGAGCCCAGGGCTGAAACAGCAGGGGAAATGTGAGTCAGGGCTGGGTTGGTGATCCTTAGAGTAGATTTGGGCATCTGAGGGTTTTTTTGACAGCCCCTTTTCTCCTGCAAAATGAATCCAATGCACTGAACACGAAAGCAAATTGTATTAGGATTCTCCATTTACAAATATTGCTAGCAACTAAAGAATAAAACAGTTCATATTTAGATTATTTTTATGATCCTAGCAGGAATAAACAAGTCTTAAAATTTAGGATTATAAAATGTAGAGACTCCAAGAATTTCAGATAGGTGGTCAGCCTATTAGGGAGATCTTACTCAAATCTAGAGATTAAGTTCTAAGTAGTCTTGGATTTTCGTTATGTCTGCAGAAGGGAACCTCAGCAAAGAAGGCCAAAGGAACACAACTCAGAGCATCAAGCCCCTTTTTATCCCCCTCCTCAAACAAAGATGTATAATATTATGTGGTAGAAACTTTGACAAGTGTGATCAGAAAGGAGACACTCTCATGTCATTCTGTTGGTCAAGCTAGAACACACTGACCTGAACCTGTAATCAAGATTGGCTAGTATTTTCAAAATGTTTCTGTTGCCTATGATTCATTTTTTTATGTTACTTCCCTTAGCATTATGCTAATGTGGTCTAACTGAGAGTTAAGATAGCTAACACCCAGCTATAAAGCTACTATAATGCAAGCTAAAAGGATTTTAGCTTAATACAAAGGCCTATAGGGTGCCTGTAGCTGGCATGGCAGAGGGCTACACGTTAGGACTGGGGATAATTTTGAGGGTCTGGGCAGGAAACTTTGGCATCTTCTCCCTGCATCATTCCTGGCAGTGGTCCCTGTCAAAACAAGTTATTTCAAGGGCTGATTCTTTCCTTTCTGCCCTTCACATGGGCTTCCTGCTTTGCTTCTTAAAGGTTGCTTGGAGGAGGCGATTGATCTGAAGTAGCAGGAGGGGCTGTTTTGCGCAGCATCCCCTCTTAGACTGGTCTGGTTGCTCTTTGCTGGACGTGGCAGGCTCCGAGGTCATGGAGCCTGACAGAAATGGCAACTCGCAGCTATTCTAACTGCAGAACTCCCTGTTCTGTCAGAACAGAGAGGAAACTAGGGACATTTTTACACATATACGTGCTGTAGCACTGGGCACTTTGAAAAGTGCCCGGCACTGCGACAGTTGCAGTTGGATAAGCAGCAAAATGTGCATCAGCGCTGAGAAAATGTTGGTGGTGCACTTTTGAACTAAAACACGTAGAAGGTGCTTTAGTTCAAAAGTGCACTGCTGCCATTTTCTGCAAGCTGATTTCCATTTTGTCACTTATACAATTGCATACAACTCAGCGTAGTGCAGTGTGCATCAGCTCACAGGCAGAGCAGATTCAAGTAATCAAGTCTGCTCTGAAGTGCCAGACCTCTGGCATGTCACAGGACCAACAAGTGTGTGTATAAATGCCCAGTGTGTTTGCTATCTGAAGTTGTACCAATGTTAGCTGATAAGAGCTGAGCTAGAAATAGATACTGTCTAAAGGCAAATATTAGTCAAAGGCCAAGCCCCTCTTCCCTGACCTGGGCCTTCCTTGTGGTTGCTGCTCCAAGGCTGGGAGCATCTTGCAGCTGATGGAAAGAAACGCACAATTCTGGAACTGTGGAAGGAGTTGGGGAAATCTATGGAAACACCCCAGGAAAGTAGGTGGTGATGTCATCACCATCACATGCCAATATTGGAGCTGGATTTGGCTTTGGCACAAGTACACATGGCTGTCACCAGAGGGCACTTAAAGGGAGCTGTCTGCCTTTTTAGACCAGGATTAACTGAGTCCTGGAGCTGGGCTTTTTAGGAGAGTCCTGTGTTCCTGATGGTCTGTTCTGTCCCCGTCTGGCTGGTATTGTGACATAAGTTAATAGTGTCCAGACAACTGGTGTCCAAACAGAGATGATGATGTAGTTTTATATCAAGAACAAGATTGGGCTTTATGTGGACTGAGCCTAGGCAGAGGGATCAGCACGTGCCTGAGATGACAACTTCAATCACAGGCATTAGGTTACTGAAAATGTTCATGGGAAGGTGTTGGGCGATGCCCGAGCCAGGTCTGGAGTCCTTTGCATAGGGCTGAATTCCACCCAGCCATTGTGTGTGGGGCAGGAATGACTGAGTGAATCCCATCCTGTTACCATGCATGACTTTGCCTTGGACAAGACCAGTGGGTGAGGCCTGCTGCTTCCTTGCAGACAGTGTTCGTGCGGTCGGTGAAGCTGTATAACAGTGGGGATTTCCGAAGCAGTGTCACTGACATGGAGCAAGCGCTGGTGGAGTACTACAAGGCCTATGAGAACTGCCTGGCAAGCTGTGACGGCACCTACGAACTGGAAGAGTTCAAGGACTTCTACCCAGCCATCGCAGGTGAGCGTGGGGCCTTCTAGCCTATGGAACTGTGGTGGGGTTCAGGGGCTCAGAGCAGTGGCAACCAGGAGAGGAAAGGTCAGAGGTTGGGTTTCCCCTGAGCCAGGTGGCCTCTTTATTTTAATACAGACGTGTGGGTGCAGAGCCTTTGTCTGTGGGTCTTGGCAAAAGGTGACTCCATGTCTGGCATGAAATGATCACTAGCAATGACTTCCTTATGGACTGGTTGTTTGTAGTGCACAGATTATCAGTGACTAACCAACCTCCTTGGTGTCAGCCTATTCATGTAAACTAAAGACTGTCAAGGCTATGGAGGGGAGACGCTGTCTGTCCACAGAAACTACCTCTCCTCTCTGTCAGGGCTGAGTGGGGGGGCTGCTGTGTGGGAGGCCGGGACTTGATTTCCTTCTATCTGGGCTGCACCTAGTTCAGGGTTGTACAGAGCAGGCTATTTCAGGGCCTAGTACCTTTGCTGTCTTTGGTCAAGTGATGGAGACGGAGGCTGCTCTTCTGGCCAGCAGGAACAGCAAGAAGGACATATGGAAAGGATAAACCCTTCATGCCCCAGAAACCTCAGAGACCTGGCAGAAAGCAGAACCCTTTGCCATTTGGAATAAATCATCCTGTGCATGACAGGAGCATAGGGCAGCCACCCCAGGAACAGGTTATCCTCCAACTAGCAGCTGATGGGGGCACAAGGGGCTTACCCCCTGAAGCAGCTTGTAATGGCCACTGTGGGAGATGTGCTTCAGCTTAGCCAGGATGTGCTGATGGGCATCTCTTCCTAGACCACTACGTGGCTGTCCTGCAGTGCCAGGTGGACTGTGAGACTGACCTGACTCCCAATGTGGGTGGCTACTTTGTGGAGAAATTTGTGGCTACCATGTACCACTACCTGCAATTTGCGTATTATAAGTGTAAGTAAGTCTTTGTGCTTGCTTCTGGGACTGCTGCTCACAGGATGTGTTGGGGAGGGGAGAGTGATAACCCCTCCGCCTTTTTCCCAAATGTTTCCTTGCCTGCTCCCCTTTGTTTGCAGCCAGCACTTTGACATCTCAAAATCTCCATTCCTGTTGAGATCTCCTTCCCCTCTGACCTCTCAGTGCTATGATTTTGGGGACTTCTCACAACACGGTCCCCTGTATAGGATGGGAGGATTGGCGAGGCCTGGTGGAGGGTGGGCTCCTCATCGCACAGTCCTCTTGTAAAGGGAGGGGAGGGATAATTCTCTGTTCTCTGCCCCCCAGTCACATTCCCCCATGTCTGGCCGCTAGGCCAAGGGGGAAATGTTTCTGCATGCCATGTCCCTGGCTGCTCAGCTCTTATCTGTCTACGGAGTATCTCCTCTCCATGCTCCCTGTGCCCAGCCTTGTGCCAGGGGGCATGTCTCTGTATCATGTGCCTGGCCCCCATGGAGTGGGGCATGCCTGGCCCTGCCTCATGCCCCCACCCTTCCCTCCTTTCTGTGCAGTGAATGATGTGAAGAATGCAGTGCAGAGTGTCTCCAGCTACATGCTCTTTGACCCTGGTGATGAGGTGATGCAGCAGAACCTTGTTTATTACCGCTTCTACCGGGAGCGCTGGCATCTGGAGGAGGAGGACTTTAACCCGCGCCCGGTGAGGGGCTTGTGGGGCTAGGGTTGGGAGAGGGATGGTGAACTAATTTGCACAGTCTAATAGCTGCCTCTTGAGCCCCTCTGAGCTTAGCCCATGGGCTTCTGGGAGACATCATGTCCTCCTCTTTCACCCTGCTGAGTCCCAGCCTGGTGTGGCATGGGGAGACCTGGGCAGGAGTGATTTCAGTTCCTGGGATGGGAAGCTTTGAACTGTTCTAATACACTGTGAGGAGCACCCTCTCCAGTCCCAGCTGTAAGGGAGTTGCAATGTACAGGCTGATTTAAGGAATGCTGAACAATAGTAGCTGCAAATGTAGTTGCTTTTGCCTCATGGCCTTTGGTTCTGAGACCTTGCAGTCCTGCCCAGCACAGATACAGCACAGCTTCTGGCTACTTTAGCCCTTTCCATATGAAGCAGATGCCAGCCCTGCATGGGAGCTTAACTGTTTGGTTGCTGCCTAGGGGATGGGCAGCAGCAGGAGGAATTGGGCTGATGGTGTCCTTATCCATCCTCTCTCCAGGAAGCGCTCCAGTATCACAACCAGACAGCCATGCAGAAGAAGATGTTGGAGTTTGCCAGGCAGTACCTGCAGACTGATGATGAGGTGAGCTGGGGCTACAGCAGGACACTGGGGTGGGAGGAGCCCCTGGGTAGCATTCTGCTGCTAGAAAACTGTGCTCTGGCACCTGAGCCAGTTTTGCTTGCTAAGCAGGGCTGGGCCATGTCATTGTGTGGATGGGAAACCTCCAAGAACCTCTGGCTTGCATCAGAGATGGAATAATGGGAACTTAGCAGTGGTACCTGGTGCATCTGCTGTGCTTCACCCCAGAGGTGGCTGCATTTTGGTGCTGGGAGAGAGAACTCCTACATCATTGCTTAGGCTAACTGATGTTTCTGAAGTGCTGGCTGAGTAGGAGGTTCTGGTGCTGCAGAAAAATCTCCAGGGAAAGGGGGAGCTCCCATTTAAAACTAGATTACCCAAAGCCTTGGAGAAGAGACTTGAGGGGGCAATTTGGGATTGGTTCCTGTGGTGGTGAAGGACTACATGAGCCCTGAGGGGGACAGGGAATAATGGAGAGCTCTGGAGAACAGTGTAATGTGATCCTTCATCTATTTGTATGGGGTCGGGGTGGTCAGTGTTGTTCCTTGGGGGGCTTTGCCGAGCAGAGAGGCTTAGGCACCAGGCTTTGGGGCCAAACCTGCTCTGAACACCTAGATGGAACCTGGTGACAGACTGTCTCATCCCATATTGCAGATGGAATTGGATGATGGCCCAGCCCCCGCTGGGCAGGACCTGGAATTGGACAGTGAGTTTGAAGGCGAAGGCGACTATGAGGAAGGTTTTTTTGCAGAGTGGTGGCAGGAGCCCAAGACCAAAGGGGACAAAGCAGATCAAGGTTACTGATCCTGGGCAGCCATTATTTCTGGGGGCTGGTGATGCTGGGAGCGGGACAGTCTCTCCCTCCCTGCCTGTCCCTGGGGTAAGAGTCCTCCTGCCTTGACTGGGCCCATGGAGTTGAGAGGAGCAGCAGTCTGGGTGCAGCAACCTGCACAGGTGCTGGGGTGAGGGGGCAGTCCCATCCCCTGTACCCTGAGGCTGTGTGCTTCTGGGTCACTGAGCCTCAATCTACCTTGTTTGAGCCACCACCACTTACGATAATTGGCCCCATCGGCGGAGGGGCCCCAGGGCAGCCTGGACTCAGTTCATACTTCTAACTCTAGCAGGGTGCCTCTGGGGCAGGGCTTGGATCCAATGGGGCTGGCATGGGGAGTGCTGTGTCCCCTGCTTGTGCTGTACTGTGCTCAGGCCTCCATCACCTCTCACTCACCAGTGCTAAGGGCCTCATCGTGCATGTGCTGAAGGTCCATATCTCTGGGAAGCCCAAGGGGACTGTGGAGAACACACCTCACACGGCTCCTGAAGAAATACAATGACCCCTTTTCACTAGAAGACAGGAAACTGAAACATGGAGGAGGGCAAAATCTGGATCAGTAGGGTCACAAGGACTGGAGACTTCTGCTGGGCAGGGCTGCTACCTTCCCGTGTCTCCTGGGGCACAGTGTTCGCAAACCTCCCTTGGTGCCTGCCTCCCTCCTGCTGGTTGAACACTCCTAGAGGCTGCGCAGTACTCGTGTCCTTTGTCTCGTTCTTGTTGGCAAGCGTCCATCGTTGCTTCCCCTCTCCTGGTGTTTCCAGTGGATGAGCCTGGCCCTGTCTGTCTGTCTGTCTCTATCCCTCCGTCCATCTTCCTGTAGATGTCTGCATGGCCCTGGGAATGGTGTATGTTTGTGTGCAGCCTCTCTTGTTCATTCCAGGAGCGCTGTAATTTCCCACTCCACAGACACTGGGGTAAGAATAGCAAGAGCCCACGGAACGGGGCAGGCTGTGGACACCATGTCACACAGCTGGGAGTCTTCCTTCAGCATTTGTCCTGGTAGCTAGTTGGGGAGGGGCCACTTTATTGGATCCCATGCTCCATGAGATTAGGTGAAATGGCCCTCGGACTCAGGAGTAAGGAGGAAACCGTGAATGGCTGGCATGTGATGCCTACTGGCTGCAGAAACATCTCCGGGTCAGAGGGTGCAAGGATGAGCCCAGACACACTGTGAGCCTGAGCTTCCTGCCTTTGTGGCTGGCACTCCGCGTGTTCCCTGCACTCCCTGCTCCCCTCTGTTTCACCCTCTATTCTGGAGGTGATGATCCAGCACCCAGATGCTTCTGTTCTCCACACTCTTCACTGAGGCCTTGGGATCTGTGAGTCATTGGCAATTGGGCTTGATGCATGTGCTGGACACTGGCCAAGGGGCACCAGAGAGGCTTCTGCCTGCATCCCACTGTCATTCCAGTACTGCCACTGGTGTTGCTGATGTGCCCAGGCAGAGTTACTGGGAACTGACTGTCCTTGCTGGCTGCTACCTGGGAAACCCCCCTGGGAAGACTGCCTGGGACTGCACCTAACAGCCTGTGTTTTTTTGTTTGCAGAAGAGACCCGATGAGTCACATGCGTCGGGGTCCAACACCAGCTGCAGCCAGGGGCTGTGCCCTTCTGACCCATTACCCCATCAGCACGGGGCAAAGGAGCTGGATGGGGATGGCCCCAGCTGACCTTGTCCTCTGGGCTCCCCAGGGAGCACGACTTTGAGCTCCCACAAACTTTGTGGGGCTCAGACTCAGACCCACCTGGGAGGGGCTGGTCCTGTCCAGTGCCCCAGCCTACGGAGAGCCTTCTGCCTTTCTCTCTGGGGCTCAAGCCTTCCTAAACAATGAACAGAGCTCCGAGGCGCTGGCACCCCTGAGCCAGTCACAAGTGCATGCTCATCCTATGAGCCATCACTCTTCAGTGCTTGAATATCCTACTCCTACCCCCAGACTAATGTACAGCTTTAGAGACCCCCCTTTTGCACCTCTGGTTGCCTTTCCCACTGGGTAGTGAGGCCCCTTGAGGATGTGGAGGCATAACTCGAATAATTTCCTCCTGTCATATGAGGAACGTGGGCTCCCAGAACTGCTGCTCATGGCTTCCTCCTCGGGTCTCCAGAGAAGGAAATTCCTCCCAGTCTACAGCCAGATATGGGGAGCTGCCTTAGGGCCTTACGGCTTGTCTCAGGTACCTCTATTGGAGCCACATCAGAATATGCTCCTAAAACCTGCAAGGCCAAGGCTGGAGGTTTTGCTGAGAGAAGAAGGAGCAGGATCTTGCAGAGCTGAGGGAACCAGCTCTCCAGTTTGGTTTTAAATTATCTTGATGCATTTTGGGAGGATGGGAACATTTCTTGTGACAGTAAGAGGCAGGTGAGAGCAAGGCACAATGTGGGGTAGGGGCTGACCAGACACCCTACCATGCTCACAGCCAAACCCTTTCATCTCAGTCCTGGTCCCTTGTTATTCTAGCCCCGGGCTGTCCCCGTGGTTCTGCCAATGCCCCTCTATCCAAACTTGTAGCCCTCTCTGCCAGCTTCCCTGAATCTGAGTTGTGGCCCTGCTGCTTTTGTAGCCTTGGACTAGTGTCCAGCTGGCTATGAAATGGTGGCTTCTACGGTGGATGTCAAAACATGGGTTGATGCCTAGCAAAGGCTGTGATACAGGGAGGCCCAGAAAGCCCACGTCACTGGTGACTCATGTTAAATTAGAGCCCAGGTCCCTGGAAGTGAAGGGCAAGAGTGCGCGTGAGACTGAAACCTGGACCCACTTCAGTGCCAAAGAAAACCATCTGGAGCAGGTATTTTTGCCCTTGGTCTATGAAGGAAAGGGCCTTGATCCAACCCCTTGGCCCCCCATCTTGTCACTGTGCCATGGGGCCTTGGATGCCTGCAGGGATTTGGGAGTGGGATTGGTGCTTTGTGCCCACCTGGGGATGAACACAACTCCTCCTTGCCAGGCCATCTGAGGCCAAGGTCTTCCCTTCTGTGGGTTCTGAAGTTTCTCTCTCTGCCTCTTTTAGCAGCAGGAGCCTGTGCAGCTTGCTTGATGCTGGGACCATTGTGCAAGCACACAACCAAAGTGCAGTCTTCCATGCCCTACTGCTACCTCTCTGACAACACACTTTAGATCCCCTTGAAGGTCAAATGTGTTACACAGCACCCCTTCCCCCCCCATGCCCTTTTCCTTTGAAGGATGGGGCTGCTGCTCCCAGCACACGCTGCTCTGATCAGGGTGGTGGCTAATTGAGTTTCCTAGAGGCAGCTGCGCCCTGCATCATACTGTACATCAGCTGCAGCTCAGGGCCTTGTGAGGTGGGGGTACCCCACTTGGCTCAGCTGCCCTAAGTGCCTTGGATGTTCTAGACCAGCCCCTTGTAATGTCCTTGGTTAATTTAATATTTCCTGCCTTTGTACAGTTGCTGTTACGGTTTTTTTTGGGTACTAAACTTGTAATAAAACCCTGACTGGCCAGTCCTTTCAATACTATCTGGGGCCTTTGTGTTTGCTGTTGCTCTCAAATTGCTGTGTGCACCAGCCTGGCCAACTGATTCCTCTTGGTGTGTCTGCACGTCGCCATACAGTAAAATTGCGCTGTGTTTTAGTACTTCCTTTTGGAAGTACTAAAATATGGCGCAGTAACCACCTGTAACATTGCTGTAGTGGCACACTATGGTGATGTAGCTAGTGATCATGTGTAGATGAACATCACTGTAGTAGGGAGCCTGCTGGTATGGTGATCGCTTGTAGGCTCACGTGATCTCTGCAGCGCTGTAGCTCACTGTACAGCAATGCAGTGCATTGCTATGTTGGTGTAGGGTGATGTGTAGATGCACCCCCTATGTAGGACAGTAGCAAGATTGGCTGGCTTCTGCCCCTGGCACTTGGGCTTGTAGTGGAGAAGGTGCTGGGAATAGAGGCATGAGCTTGCAAAGATTATCACAGTGGGAGCCAGAAGGTACTTTGTCTGTTCATCTATTAGGAGGTAAGAGGTGACCTGAACAGGCTTTATACATTTCTCCCTGGGGAAAAGAGCTAAAGCTCAAGGGCTCTTGGTATCTACCACAGTTGATCCAGTTACTCTGGTTTGAGGCAGGGATTCTCCAGCACCTAGTGGGGTGAAGATATCTTACGTGGAGTTTTCTAAAGGAGATGTAGCTGACTCCAGTGACCAGGTGGGGTGCAGGAACAACAGGACGATGACTCTGGCCTGTGTTTCATGGGTGGTCAGACCATGTAGTCCCAATTGACCTTCCTGCCCTGAGAACTATGAAGAGAGCAGCTGTCTTGTCTGTCCCTACCCACAGAGGTCAATTCCTTTGGGCTGTAGAAGTGCCATCAGCTGTCTACAGATGTGGCCAGGGTAGTGCAAACTGCAGGGTGCTCCCATTTTCACTCTGGCCAGCTGGGGCATGGTAGAGCTTCATGGGGCAAGAGAGCCGGGGCTGGGGAAAGACTGAGTGAAAGCTACCGCTGAGCAGGGTGCAAGGAAAGGAGATACTGCCTGGAGGGAAGAAGGGAGGAGCTCAGAGTCCTGACAGCAACCTAGGGGCGAAAGTCAGGGAGTGGTGGGGGGACAGCATGCCCAGGGTCAGCTGTGGTTTAAGGACCACAGGGAGAGGGCATAGGCTGACAATTCAGGGATGTTGGTGTGAACTTGAGAGTTGAATCCTGGTGGGTAGGTTCCCAGTGTTCTCCAGTAGGTGGCACTGTGAGCCTTGAGGAGGCTGGGGGGAGATCATAGGAAAGCAGGGCTGGAAGGGACCTCACAAGGTCATCTGGTCCAGCCCCCTGCAAGGGAGGATCATCTCTGACTAAATCATCCCAGCCAAATGTCTCTCCAGCCTGCTCTTGAAAACTTCCAAGGATGGCGTTTCCAGTTTCTTAGCCTGTTCCAATGCTGACCCCACACATAGGAAGTTCCTCTGAATCTCCAACCTAAATTTCCTCTGCTGCAGTTTAAGGCTGTTGCTCCTAGTCCTGTCCCCTGTAGCCAGAGAAGAGCATATCTCCATCCTCTCTATAATCACCCTTCAGGTATTTGAAGGCCATAGGGCGATTATAAATGTTTGCACTGGCTCTGTCAGCCTAGTCCCAGGTTCCTGCCAGTGTAACTGAGGTGCTAGGAGGGCTCAGCCTTATGCGGGGAGCTGCATTGCACAATGCTGCTCTGCCTGGGGGAGGTGGGGGGCAGGGAAGGGAGGGGGGCCAAAAAGTGCTGTGACTGAGGATGATCCTGCCACGTTGTGGGCTGGCTGATATTTAGGGAGATCTGTTGCATTTAATGCCTGTAGTGAGCACTTGCTCAGATGAGGAGGCTGCCAGGGATTGGGTGTGTGTCTGGGGGGCCTGAACCAGGGCTGGATAGCAGAGAACAGGGCAGGCTCCTTGAAAGCAGTCCTGGAGCCTGGGGTGTCGGAATGACTGGCCTCTGCTGTGTCCTGCTGCAGACCCAGGGGCGAGGGCCTGGGTGCTACAGCCCTGAGGACGATCACAGGACCAGGGCTTCAAGGTGTCAGGTATGGGCCCCAGCCCTCTCCTGTTGTACAGGAGGATGCTTTGTGCTTGGGCCCCCATGCAGTCTGGACAAGCAGACATGGGTGTGTTCAATCTCATGATACCCTTTGCTGCAGTGGACCTGGAGAAGAAACAAGCCCTGCTTGGGAACCCTTGACAGGCAGGAGCTATCCTTATGGTGGTGCCTCACTTAACAGCAAAGCTTTCTTATACCGGGGGGAGGGGGGGTGTCTCTTGGGGCTGTGGCCTTCTATGAGAGAGCTGCCTATGCTAGCCATGCTGGCTGGGGAAGAAGTGCCTCTGATTCTGGAGCAGCCAAGGCAGCACCTTTTGCCTGAGCTAAATTCACTGCAGATACTCCTCCCTCAGCTTCCCTGTGGCATTGCCCTGCTCCAGGTTTCTGCCTGCTTCAGGCTCCTCCTTGCCAGGAGCTGTGTCAGTACCCAGGGTGCTGTTCTGTCAGTGATTCATTTCCAGTGAGTGAAGCCTGTTTTCCAAGGGGACTTCATCATTGGGAACAGTGGTGGCCCAATTCAAGGCTCCAGAACCACAACCCAGTGGAAGCACTAGGCTCCTGCTGAGCTGCCACAGGTGGGGCACCTAAAGTATTGGCCATGTTTGTCCAGGCCTATGGTTGCTGGCCTCTTCCTCTGCCTCCACGAGGCCCAGAGACTAATTTTCCCCTTGCTTGGGCTGTGATGTGTCTCGGCCTTGTCTGTTGTGTTTAGCTGCCCTCCTGCAGCACAGATGTGCTACATGACCCAGTATGTTGATGGCAGGGGTGGGGAAAAGATGGCATCATCCAGACTTTCCCTCCTGGAGTGACTCACCTGCCCTTGGGAGGGACACTTTTACCTGAGTGTCAAGTGCCTCTGGCTGCCTGGCCAGCAGGGGGCATCACAGGTACAAGAACCATTGTGCCCCATTTCCACGCACAGCCCATCATGTGTTGGGTCCCTGGGGCTCAGCTCAGGAAGGGGCAGGATCAGCATTGCTGCCAGCTGTGATATATATATTTTTACCACTTGTGGGACTTTGCTCCATCTTCAGCTAGACCTGATTCAGGAGCTGCAGCTGTTTTGTGAATTACAGCCCAGCTTTGGGGCTGGGAAGTCTCCTCTCATTGGCTGCCTGCTGTGCTAACCAGCCTCCTAGGGTAGAGCAGCCAGTCAGGGCTGCTCAGGAGGCAGGCTGTGCCCTCCCACTCCCATTGCTTGGCATGTCCTAGCAGGGGGGAGGATGAAGCAGAAATAGTCTATCCCAGGGGTGGGCAATTATTTTGGGTGGAGGGCCACTTACCAAGTTTTGGCAAGCCATCGAGGGCCATGTGGGTAGCCCCAACCCTTGACAGAGCCCCTGCCAGCACTGCTGCAAGCCTGGGCTCTGTGCTTCTACTGCTCCTGGCCCTGGGGCACAGGCACGGGCCTTGTGGTGCCGCTTGCAGCCACTCCTCCCCTTGTTTGCTACCACTGCCCTTCTCCTGCCACTTCCCCACTTGCTGCTCTGGCACCATGGGCTGGTGGGCTGTATGTGGTCCGCGGGCCATATTTTGCCCATTCCTGGTCTATCCACTTAGGGCAGTGTCACTCCTCCCCCCAGCCTGGGTGGCTCCTTTGTCCCCCCTTGCAACAATTTTGGGAATAGGGAGATGCCACCGGAGCTGCCCCTCTGTAGCCTGGGAACCTGCTGTGGCTGCCTCACCAGGCCTAGGAAGAAGGGTTTGGGGAACAGAGGTGGGGGCAGGGAGTAGCTGTTGAGAGATGGGGGAACAGAGCTGATGTCAGTGGCTTAGGGCCAGGGCAGTGCGCTTAATGTTGCTGCAAACAGCCCTCCTAGACAAGTTGGTGCCTGTGCTGGGTGTGCAGTGTTTCCAGGACAGGCAGCGTGATGCCATTCCCCAACCCTGGCTCACGGGGCTTGTCCATGCAGCCACCTTGCTCCTCCCTGCTGAGCCTGGCATTTTTGCTGCACCCTGAAAGCTGGCTCTGAGGAAGGAAACCAAGAGACTGAATCATAGCATTTGCCTGGGAGGCCTGTGGGGAGGGGGATGGGGAGCTGCTCCTGCCCTGCTCTACTTTCCATATAGGGTTTGGTTTTGCATTGGGCCTGACTTCTCCTACCTCTTCCTTCCCACTCCTCAGTCCAGCTGTGATGGGTGGGTGGGTGTGTGAGATCCAGGGTTGGGGTTTATGTGAACGCAAGGTAGTGCATGGGGCTGCTCTACACTGGAGCTACATACCTGGTTTCTGCTGCAACTCCTAAGTTTCCCCTGGCTATAGTTTCCCCTTTGTGGGTCTGACTATGGGGTTAGTCTAGGGGCTGGCAATTATTTTGAGTGGAAGGCCGCTTACTGAGTTTTGGCAAGCCATCAAGGGCCACATGATAGGCAGATAAATATTAATTTTCTAAATTTTTTAGGGGCCCTGCAGGCCGGATAGAATGGCCTGGTGGGCTGCATCCAGCCTCTGGGCTGCATTTTGCCCACCCCTGCCCTAAAGGGACACAGGGCTGGGTAGGTAGATGTGGGAGAGGTTTTGGGGTATTGCCTGTGTGAAGGGGCAATGAGTCATAAGACCATAGGGAGGGGGAGCAGAGTTAAAAGTATTTTGGGTCGACAAGGTTCTTTGAGTAGATGTGATATCTTTTGTTAGACCAACTGAGTAGTTGGGGAAAAAGTTCTTTGCAAGCTTTCAGGCGCAATTGCCCTTCTTCGGGCATAGGAAGTCTCTGCTCCACTACCCAAGTATTTAGGGTAGTGGAAACCAAATGCAATTTTCTGTTTTCACCCAAGATTTGCCTTGACTTCAAAGGGCATTCATGTGAAAAATATAGCAGGGGAAGCAGTTGTCAGCTTCTGTGTAAAGTGATGCTGGGGTGGGGGGGGCTGGGTGGTTCCCAAACCCTGTGAAGGGAAACCAATGAGGGGCTGCCAGCTCCCTTGTCATCCCAGAGGCCTCATTGCACTG